GTCAGCAGTGTTCAGTCCAGGAGTATGGGGATGTGTGGCCTGAGGGTCAGCAGTGTTCAGTCCAGGAGTATGGGGATGTGTGGCCTCAGTGTCAGCAGTGTTCAGTCCAGGAGTATGGGGATGTGTGGCCTCAGTGCTGAGTCCGGTGAGTATTCAGGTGTTGGCCATGCGGTGTTGATGAACGACCCCTGGCATCACGCAGCCAGCAGACACAGACAGACAGGCAGAGAGACTGACGGGCGGCTCGGCGAGAATGGGGGTTAGTTCTGGGAGGGGCGGACCCCCGGTTCACTCACAGCGCGGCCTCCTTCTCCCTCTCCGCCTGCACTCCCTCGCTCTCCGGCTCCAGGACCACGCGCCTCCTTGAGACCAATCACAGGACAGAGCTGAGCCCACTCCCGTCGCCCTGAGCAACACGATGCGCTACAGCTCTTCTCCTGCTCCTTCCTGACCCCCCAGCCCTCTGCCCCGGCTCCAACACTGGGGTCCTCCCAGATTCAGGGCGCCGCCTCTGTGGAGGGGGCCACACGGGGGGACCTCTCGGCCTCTCGGGCCGAATTTCTCCTCTGCAGGCGTCACGGACTGTTCACCCCAAATTCAGGGCACTTTCTTTGGGAAGGGGGAGGAACAAGGCCCCCTGTGCTTGAACATCCGAAGGCCCAACTCTGGAACATTTACACGGGCCTCCTGAGGGGCAGATGTGCCAGTCTGCGCTGGTTTCCCATGAGGAAAAAGAACAGTTGTGCGTTTTCAAGGGGTCCATGATCACGAACGGTGCATATGTACTGCACACACCCCCTACATAAGCAGCAAAATAAATACCCACTTTTCCACTCTTAATTCCCAGTTCTGATACTCTATCCTATTTTTTACAGTAGCTAAATGCAGAACCTACTGGCACTGGTGCCAATGCACCATCAAGTAAGTTGTACCCATACTGACCCAGTGGGCAGTGTGAATCACATATTATGGGAATATGTGCTGTCAAGCACATCCTGGGGACGGACTGCCCTCCCCTCTCCTTGTTTCCTGTCTCCTAATCCAGTGTGTCCAGTCTCATCCCTACATGTTGTGCCCTGCTGGTTTTTAAATCTTGATCCCGCCTTCCTAATCTCCTGTGGTACATGCATTCCCTGCAGGTCAACAGCAGCGTCTTCACACACAGGCAGACGCAGTTTACAGCGTGGCCGAATGGCGGCACCGACGTTATCTTCAACTTGCCATTAACAGCTCAGCTCTGGGTGCGACATGACCGCGCAGAGCACGCCGACAAAACCGCGGTTTCTGCTCTGAGTCGGCAGCGCGACGTCGCTGCTTTTTATTAATGACTCGTGGCTCGTGAGCGAAAAGACCAGACCGGCTCAGCGTCTGCTGCACACTTGACCTGAATGCCTAGCGCTCGGCCTGAAAGTGGCGGTTTGATCGAGCACCAGCACAAGCTGCACAGTCAAGGGCAAGAGTCTGCATGCGCTGTGAAGCTCACGGAGAAACACAGATATGCTCGTTGCTCCAGATAAGAGTTTGACACAGTCTGAGGCTCGGGGAAGGGGGTACTGTATGTTGGGCCGGCATCCCAGCCTGGATGTGAATCTGTGACCACTAGGCTGTAGGGCAGGGGCAGGCAACTTGGGCTTCTTGGTTCCATGGTTCCAGCTAAACTCTCATTAGAAACGTTTTCTGCGCCAGCAGCATCTGTTAGTTCAGTATTCTAAGATCCTACGCAGTAGTTGCAGTGAAGCCCTGCGATGGTACGATCAGAGACTCCCAGACCTCTTCAAGGATTACAACCTCAAGATGTTCTGGGTCTTACCAAGCGCACACGTGCTTTTCAACCCCACCGAGCAAGAGGGCAACTGAACCTCCAGGGGCAAACCCGCCTCCATGACGGAGTCCAGAACTACAACATGCAGTTTAGACAGGACCTGCCTGGCACGGCGAGGAGATCGGTAATTAAGCACTGGATTTTAGGCCCAAAGAAGACACCGCGCCCCTGGGACACTGGGGTGCCCCTCTTACCTTCTGTCAAGGTCGGAGGCAGCAGCGTAATGCAGGGCAGAGCGCCCCCACTGGTCGGCGGCGTTCACGCAGGTCCCCGAGGACACCAGCAGCTCCAGGCACTGATAGTGGCGGCTGGCGGCGGCGTAGTGCAGAGGCGTCCTGCGGCACACAGAGGCTCCCGTGAGTCTCTCTCTCTCTCTCTCACGCACCCACGCACACGTTCACTTCCTGTTGCCCGCCCTCACCTGCCACACTTGTCCTTCCTGCTGCAGTCCGCTCCACTGCTCAGCAGCAGCTTGACGCACTCCACGTTCCTGCGGGAAACAGGCAGGGGGGGCGTCACCGGCACCGCTCTGGAAGGGGGCGCGAGGAAGGGGGCTGGGCAGACGGACAGGAAGTCGCCCCGAGCGACAGACACGGGTACAAGACGACGGCGAGGAGGGCTGGGGGCGGGCACAGGAGGGGACAGACTCTCCGGCAGGGTGCCGGTGCTGAGCCGGGCGGACTCACCCCCCTGCGGCAGCCGCGTGCAGACAGGTCCTCCCGAAGGCGTCAGGGGTGTCTATCTCAAAGCCTGCAGACAGGACCAACTCGTTACTGAAGGAGCACACTATGCTATACTTCCGGCCTGGGGCAGAGGCAGACACGCCGGCAGACGGACAGGCAGACAGGGAGGAGGAGGAGGAGGAGGAGGAGGAGGAGAAAGGGAAGGAAAGAGGCGGGGAGGAAGAGCAGGACAGGGAGGAGAAGACAGGAGAGAAGGGAGAGAGGTGGAGAGAGATGGGTGTTAGTAGTACGGAAGCAGACAGACAGGCTGATGGAGAGGAGACGAGTCTGGTTAAGTGTCCTCCGCTCTCCGGCATGAAGGCCAGGCCGGATTCGCTCTTCCTGGGACAGGCAGCGTGGGATTCCGAGGGAGATTCTGTATGTGAGGAAACCTCCAGCATTACAGTCACCTGTAGTGTTTGGGGCCCTGGGCAAGTGCGTTTTCACAGGCCCTTTGGTCAGGGGTGCATAAAATAAATACTTGAAATTCACCCTGCCGGCCCTACAGTCCTCCTACAGGCACTGTGCTGTCCGATTTCCTGGCTCAGTGGTTCCATGCCCAGCTGCAGCCAGGGAATGTGTTTTATTTTATCCAACTCGCCGGCTGCCTCAGACGGCCCGTTTTACTGCTCTTTCGAGAGCGCCACTTTTCTGCTTCAGCGGCAGGGGTAATGTAGTATGACTTCAGCTACTGCGCTGATGGCCGGCAGCCGGTTTCAAAAACGGCCACCGACTTCCCCTCCCTCTCCCATGAACTTTACAGATCTCTGCGTGGGCACTCGTGTGGGTCAGTCAAGTCAGTCAAGCTTGAATTCACGTTTTATATCCATACACCCAGCCCCAAGTCTAATTGGATCTTTTTTTGAGATAAACTATATCATTAAGCAAATGACAAGAGGCTTTTAGAAAGTTCCATGAGTGAGACAGACTTTAAACATCAGTGGTATATATACACAAGTAAATCAAGATTAATGTAATAGATCAGCAAGTGCATTTTTCTAAAACATAAAGTGCTTAACTCCTTATGTGTCGTACCGCAAGTTACAAGCAGACCAATGGCTGGATACGGAAATAGAAATAACCCCCATTTGACTCTTCTGGATGCACAGCCTACAGCCCCCCCCCCAATGCCTTTGAAAAGGATCCCCACCAGCATCTCACCCTTCCTCCCCGTGTAGTTGGATTCAACACTATCTCCAGCGCAGGAACAGGCAAAGGCAGGAGGGAAAGATCTGGGCTGAGTGTTGGTCAGTGTCCCTCAGGGCTCCATGCTAGTTCCACACATACAGATACACAGGTGCAGGTGTCTGGAACCCGCTGGGCAAATGTGCCAGTTACACGAAGCTTGGAGGAATGGTCAAGTGCCAAGACACGGCCCTGGGCAGATGTATGGCATCTAAACCTCACTGTTAGTAGACACAG